TTACTAACTATGGAAACTCTGTTAGTATCACTAATTCATACTAATAATAGAATAATTATAATATTTGTAGAACTGTTCATATTGTGTGTCTTTGGGAATACAGGATTGGCATTAATGTCATGTGATATGTGACTTAGAAAAGGGATCTTTATTAACATTTCATAGCTGGAGGTCAAAATTGGTATTTAATGAGAAATACAAGTTGATAATCATTTTGGAGCTAATAAGGAAAAATATTTATTGAATTAAAATACCTATATTTTAATAGTTACTTTTTTGAGATTGACATATTACTTTGGGGAGGAAAATCACATTTTTGTTGGATAGATGTAAAAGATCTACAGTGTCAAAACTTTCTTTTCTAGAATAGAATCATCGCAATAGCAAAAAAAAACAAGTTATTGAATAATAGGTCCCTTCTCTCCAGTGCTCATACAGCCTAAGGAAAGAAATCCTGACAACATTATTGCTTACTTTTTTCTCATATCCTAGATCAGCTTTTATAACCCTCGACTTATTGTCACCTGGAAGAACATCGACAGAGGTCTTATACTAGATAGGATAAGGTAGAAATTAAAAGAAAGGACCAGAGCTGGAAGTTAATAAATCACAACATGGCTGTATTGAAAGTAGCTAAGAAAGAGACATTATGACCTAAACTAATGAAGTCCTTGAAAAGTAACTAGTTAACAGTACAAAAGTGGTAATAGTAGTATAGTTTTCAACTCACTCTATATTAAGATCAACTCTTTTTTTCCACCAATACCTTCTTTATTGTATGCAAAGTCTTCTCTCCTATTTAATCTTGTATAATTTTGTTTATAGTTATAACTTAGCCTGAAAGATAGAATTATAGTAGTTAGATAAATAGTTAAATATCAGATTTAAATCTGAAAAACATACTGACATTAATACAAACATTATAGATTCTTTCTTAATTTTTTTCACACTAGTAGATCCCTTTACTAGCCTCTTTGCCTCAAAAAAGGATGGCATTGCTATGAAGTAGATTTGTCCTTATCCAAGGTTTACTTGAGAACAGAAGTAATTTATCTACATTATATATATAATATCTATTATATTCGATAAAACATGACTGTGCCAGCATAAAAAAATAAAATAAAATAAAAAAATCAAGATAGTATATAATAGAAATTATTATGATTAATTTTAAAAAATCTAGAAACTTAATAATAGAATAAATAAATCAAAGAAAAAAAAAACAATTATCTAGTAGACCAAAAAAATTTCAAAACTTAAAATTTCATCCTCTGATTTTGACACCAACGATCGTGACACTTGGGTTGCTTCCTGCCAGCTACCTCGGGCTCCGTCCAATTTAATGTATTCCATCCTAATGTTATCAAATTCGATTGCTATCCTTCTTCTGGTACTTGTCTTCACTAGATCAATTGCTTTTTCACCTAAATTAGAACTCTGAGAATACACCAGAAATTCTGGTTCAATGTCTGTGTGAAGAGTGAGAATTAAAGTATCCAAAAAAGCCTGCCTTAAAGCCTCGTCATTTGCGTGTTTAACACTATTGTCCTTCAATGGCTTGAGTAAAGCTAGCTCTACAAATCGGCAGAGTGGTTCAATGTTGTTTTCCCCCTCCAAAATTTGAAAACATTCCCGTACAGACATTAAATCCTCCTTTTTCCAATCATAAATCTTAAGTGCCTCTGCAATAAACTCTGCTAGTAATACGATTTGGGATTTGAAAATTGTGCTGTAATGAGATTGGTTGATATGTGAGAGTACCAGTATAAAACAAGAATGATAATAGCGGGATGCGATCGGCGGCAAGTTCAATAAGTCGAAATCGTTGTTCTATACCATTTTTTGATTCGAGACATCGATTGAGTGCTTCAGTAAGAATGGATTTTCCGAGGGGATTGTTGATCAAGTTCAATGTTGCTTGTGAGAGCAGTGTGTGCGGATCAGAAGGAAAATGAAGAAGCTTTTTTATGATAATTGAAGTGTCATCACTATCGCCTATAAATTTAATTCGTCCAATAAACATCTGAATACAGTATAAAATCCGAGCAGTATTGAAAATGCCTTCAGGTTGATCAGGGTTAAAAAAATATCCGCCAAGTTCCTCATTTAACCATTTCATTACCCCTCCTTAACATCAAATAGAGAACCATTTCCAAAAGCATTGTCCAAGAGAAGTTCAACATCTGATTTCTTGAATCCATACAAATCCCAAAATTCTTCTCTTAATGCAAGATCCGCTGAAATATTAAAACCCGATATAACAATGGGAATTACGCCAGTTTGGAAAACACGGGCAATGCCTTTATCACAAGCAGTCTTCAAAAGACCGTAGAATGGTCTGAACGAACTTTCAATTAATACGATTTTGCTTTTAATGAAGACGCTTTCCTTGTGATTATTGGTGAGATCTTGAAAGATGGTTTCGTTTCTGAGAGCTTCAATCATACTCGCGTCATATTCATCAATGAAAACATAGAGCTGAGGATTTAAATGAATATTAGCTCGGTAATATTATTATTAGTTTTTTAAAGAGGTGATGATTGAATAAACAGAAAAATACTTTGTGACCACTTGATTGCACCGCTTTTGTTAGCCTCAAGAAATTTGCCAAAGCATCTGCATTTACATCAATAACTTGAGAATAACGTCCCAACTCTTGTTGATATCGGTTCATAAACAATGACATATGCATATTCAAATTTGTATGAAAGTTTGCATTAAAGATGTCATATGTTTCGTTAGTGCGAAGTTTAGAAAAATTGAGTTCGAGGATGAGAAATGATGTTGCTAATGGTGTTGGTTTTTTTCCGATGTATAAATCGCCGAAGATTTGTTTGAATTGTTCTTTGTTCTTTATGTCGTAATAAGACGACAAAGTGGAGAGGAATAATGTTTTTCCAAAGTGACGAGGACGTAGAGAAAGGATGGCACAAACATTAAGATCCTCTATTTTAGAGATGAAGTGAGTCTTGTCTAAATAATAACCTCCACCTTTTCTCAGATCAATAAACGATCCTGTTGAAAGTATTTTGAGGTTTTAAAGACGATTTATCAGGCACTTCTCTGTCAGTCTCGGTAAGTGATGCCTTCGATCCATAAAATTCAATAGACAAAAACATAAAATTTAGTAAGGACCTTTAATCATAAACTCAAATCCTCAGTAGCCACTTTGTTCTTACACAACTTTCAAAATACAAGGTTTTAAAATACGCTAAGAATAAAAATGTTGACCATACTTTTGTCGACTCTGGTATCTTTTCTGGTTCATCCCTCTTGAGCCTTTTCGATGGTGGTTTGAATTCGTCCTGAATCTCTTCACCCTCATTTTCCCCTTCAACTTTATAAATATCTAAAGCATTTGATCGAAAATTTCTTTTTACGAGATTCTACAGTTGATAGTTTTAGTCATAAACTTTTGAATTATATAATTTGTGCGTGAAAAGATTTTTCACTTGCCTTTTTGCGCTCATCTATAACATCCTCCCAGTACAGACGAACATTCTGTTGGAAATAATAGATTGGAAATAATAATAATACAATAACGAGAAGCTTTATAAGATCTTAACCAAAACAAAATAGATCATATCGCGAATAGTGAGGACTAGAAAAACTTCCAACATTCCGGATTAAGGTAACACCTGTCAAGATTTGTCCTTCACTATCATTTGGGCCAGGAAACTACCTATACTCCGGGTTCAGGTAACATCTGTCAGGAGGTACCTTTTGATCAATTAAATCGAACACTTGCCTTCTCTTCCACGATAGCTGTTGATACCGGTCCCAGCTCTTCCGATGCTTGCACAAATCGTTTAAACCACGTGCCATTTAGTCCTGTCCAATTTTTTGTAAATGGTGGCGATTCGGTGATGATAGTGCGGTTTAGAGACAAAAATTCCATGTACGACCAAAAATTGGACTCACGCCCTTTCAAATATGTCATTAGGGCTGTAAATAACAAAACATGATTAATGCCTTGGCTTTTCTCTGTTTGCCACTGATGCACTTGCCTGCACGACCAGGGTATATTTCATTGGATTGTTGTTTGTCAGGATTAGACATTGTATAGTTATTAAACCATGAAAAAAATGGTTTCCAACCGTTGAGAAAGAAAAGTTGATGCGTGGCATTAATTGTTTTTTTACGCGTTTTTACTAGCCAATCAATCATTAAAAGATTAGGTTACACGAAGGCATGTGTTGAAAATCGATAGCGGAGCCAGTAAGGTTAGTATGCGCTGACGATCCGATTTTGTATTAGTTTTCACCTGTGTTTAAAATCGTAATAACAGAAGCCCCGAAATTCTTATCATTATCCTCACTCCGTAAGTCATCTTCGCTGTTATCGAAGGGATTTATAGTCGGAATTACTCACCTCCTGTAAATATTTAGATGCAATAGTATCCTCACGACTTTTCCACTTATTTTACCATCAGAGGAATTGCTGGAGGCAGTCACTTTGTGGCTAGAGATTTGAGTCGTATTATTAGGTGAAGCTTCAATATCT